TTATATATTATTATTATTTTTTTATTTTGATAATTTAAAATCTAATAATATTAATTTCATTAAATTTATTTTTAAATGTTTCTATTAATATTAAAATAAAAGGTTTTTTTTTAAAACATTTAATTTAAATTGCTAATTATTATTTTAAATGATTCTATTAATATTAAAAAAAAGGTTATTTTTTTTAAAGATTGAATTTAAATTACTAATTATTTACCTTTAGATTATAAATTAATTTACAAAATTTATAATATTATTGAATTAATATTATAAGAAAATTTAGCAATATCCTATAATAATATTTAATAAAAAATTTTATAAGTACAGTTCATTTATATTACGATTATGTTAATTTATAAAATAATTTAATCAATTAATATAATTAAATACTTTATAGAATTCTGTGATTTATTACTATGCATTTATATGATTTACATGATTACATCAATTTTATATACTTTATGTAATGCTTAAGTTAAATAATCTCATATCATGATCGTAAAATTATTGAAAATTCATTGAAAATTAAATGAAAAGATAAATATAAGATTGTATTAATTTTATTTATTATTTTATTTTTTTGTAAGTTTATTTTTTGATTTTTTGTATATTTTTTTATTAAATATTATATAACTTTCATGTCTGAAGTGATGTATTTAAATACACCTATCACATTGCATAATTGACCAGTAAAGTTTTTTTTATCATGAAAATTATATATTTAGACTTCAATTTTGCAATTGTGATATAAAATTATACATAATTAAGAAAATCTATTTTTAATACAACATATGATGTTGTTGTTTAGGATGTAATATATTTGCATTAATCCCTTCAAGTGATTTATGTCATGATTATAATGCAATATCTTCCTTACTAATACCTAATTGTTGTAATTCTTGTATCAGCATCTTTCTTCTAGAATGATTTGATATTTTGCTTCTTTTATATTAACTCCAGATAATTTGCAATCTGATTCATAAAAGAATTTAATCTTTTATATCCGACATGTTTTTTTTAAATCATATTCCGAATGTAATGCTAATAATGGATTAGTTTAAATAGATATTAAATAATAATTATTATTAAATAATAACCAAATTCTTCATCAATTTCTTGTAAATAAAAATTAATATCACAATTGTTTGGTCTCATGACAAAGTACCTTTCATAATTTCTTGTTGATTTGGAAATATTCAATGATCTGATTTACCGTTATTGGATATAAACCCTCGTTGGTTTGTTTTTGATCTATAAATGATAACATTATATCTACCATTATTTCTCTTTTTAAAACTAGAAGCATTTAATAAATGGTGTTCAGCACCATGCAATTCTAATAAGCAAGCATTAAAAAAGAATAGCCTTCTTAAAAGATGTATTGGTGTAGATCCATCCATATATTTATGCGATAATATTTGTTGAACCTCTTCATCAGTAAATGCATCAGCACCTTTTACTTCTCCATGACCTAAGTCAGTGAGAAATTTTACTTTACCACTCATTACTTTAATAAAAGAACATCAATCTTTTCAATTTTTGAATGTCTTTGCAAATATCTATTAATAGCTGCAACAGCAGCACGAATTGAGTTTACTGAATATTCTTCTCCATTGTTCTTTTACATTGATGCAATATAAGCACATAATTGCTACTCCAATTCTTTTATTACAAATATTCTCTACTTATCCTCATGTTGAGAAGATAGTCGAAAATTTTCCAATTGACTTATACAATTACTAGTAGCAACTTCGGTATTCTTTACTTTCGAAAATTTGCGAAAAAATTTAACATTTTTATCCTTTTTTTAAAGAAAATTTTGTTTATTAAGGAAATTATTATAAAATAATAATACAATTTAAGAACTTACATTGATATTAAGAAAACTTTTTATTTTTATCATGTTGCATTTTGAAATAAGCAAGAAGCGTTCATACTACATCAATTAAATTAATGATGCAATAACTATTATTTAATAAATTATAGCAAGATGATGCAATAAACTAGTTATTGGTTATGGTGGATAAAATATCGTGTCGCCCCTTCGGTGTGACCGATATTTTACCCCCCCCCCCCCCACCCAATAAATTCAATTATTATGATTATTTCTGAGACGATTATAATTTAATTAATCAAGTACACAGCTTTATTTTGCGTAAATATGAGATTAAATGCAATTCTATGACACTAAAACACTAACTAGTAAAGGAATTGAAGCCAACTGTAATTTTCTTGATAAGTGGTCACGAAGATATTTTATAAAAAATAATATTCACAAAATAAAAAAAAAGTACTGCTTTCAAAAAAAAAATAATGTTTAACGACGAATAATATCACGTGGATATCACATGGTTTATTTCGATTTTTGGAAAAATATTTTTGTTACAAAAACACGGGAAATTGAAATTAACAATTTATCTAGAATAATTAAAAATAATCAAATCGTATTAAGATCATTTCATTAAAGATTTTATATCACTATTTTTTTTTTTAATCAATAGATTCTTGTTAGTATGAAAATAATATAAACACAAATGCTTGTGGACCTAATTTGGCTGAAATTAAATCGTTACACGGGAGTTAACCAAAGGATTTTAGTGATCCGTTAATAAATGAACTTGTTTAGAATACAATGCAAAAGTTTTCTTTTTGGATAAATTAATACTATTTTTACTATTCATGAGAAAGTTATTAATTTATGGAAATCAAATGGTTTAACAAAAAGGTGAAACATTTGTCAAACATATCAAATGAGGAAGGTAAATTACTTTGTCCTTTTTTAGAAAAAAAAATTCAGGATCCGCATTTTGATTTTTGGAATCTTCAATTAATAAGTGATCGGCTATCAAATCACCTTTCGGATCATATGATTATCTCTTGCTAAACCTATAACCTTTTGGTTCGTAAAGCCTGATTGTCTGATCTGCTTATAGTTGCTGAACAAATAATTTTTTTATGTTAATCTAATCCTTTGAGCGGAAATAAGTGTTTGCTTTGCCTATAACAAATCGGTTTTATTATGTTGTTCCTTTGTTTTATTTTATCAATTTCGTTCGAGATTCGATCGGCCATCTGTAGTTTTTATTTGGAAAATGTTTTAAAGTTTTATTTATCTCCTTTTATAATTGTTTATTTTGTTAACCCAATACTTCCCCATTCACAAAATTTCAACAATTAAGACTGTTTCAGATATTGTTATAGAAAGCATTTGCTTGAGATAATTTGTCTTTGCCAACTTTTTAAAACGATTTGGTGATATTGGCTTATTCGAGTTAGGCGGGCATTAAATGATGATTTTTCCAGCAGATAATTGTATTGGTGTGATTGTGTCCAATGCGATTAAAGGATCACTATATTAAAATGGGCCATCTAGTGAATTGTTTCACAACATCTCTGAAGTTCATATCTCTGATATCATTTTTTTATTTATTTAAATTGTAAGGCAATTTTACAAGTGTTAAAAAAATAAGGAAATAAATTTTTTTCAACTAACTAACATATCAATGCAGAAAATCTTTGTTCTGTAAATTCAATAACTTTTTATGTATGTCAATGTGAATGATTCTTATCGAAACCATTACGGTTCTAAGCCAAAGTATTGAAATAGTGCGAAGCATAAAATGGAAATTATTAATACATACACAATGTATTAAATGATTTCTATAATGAGGAATATAAACCCCTTAAAAGTTTTAATTGAAAATCTAACCATTTCAGGAGATTCTGAATACAAGTTAAAAATGGGACTTGTTTACTTACTTTTACATTCTTTTTAATATTGTAATGATTATTTATTGACATTTTCGAACACAAGCGAGGTGACACGATTTAGCCTAAATCAAAAAAATTGATAATTTTTTTTTTGGTCAAACAAAAAAATCAGCCATCGTCTTAAATATAAACTTTTTTTGGAAACAATTAAATCCATAAATGGTGATTAAGCCCTTACGTCTAACCTTGCCTGTTATTAGGATAAAATGTTTAGCCTTAATTTAAAAAAAATATACAATATATCGCCCCTTTTTAAAAAATCATTGTTGATTGCTGCGCCATACAAACATTATTATGGACCCACAAGATTTATACAATGTATGTATGATTTGTTGCGTAAATATGAACAATTTTCGTGTCGTGTAGATTATGTATGTATGATCAGATAGTGTTTTCTTTGCATTTCAATCAATCAATCATTTTTAAACAAATTTAATTGATAAGCAGGGTCGAAATTTTTGTATTGTTTGTGTTTTTTTTTATTAGAGAGATGTTTTATTGTTTGTGTAATGAAACCAAACCACATATATAAAACATTTCGGCCTTTCAGAACACATATATCCGACAACTTGGTAATAGCCGACCGTCCAAATTCAATAACTTCGGGGTGCTTCGAATATTTTTTTTTTTTTCTTTCACTACTACAATTATTACCATAAAGGCTTTTTTTTTTTTTTTTTAGAAATATCAATGTGGCAATATGGCATGAATGTTATTTTTATCATGCATCACATCGCATTCATGACTTTCATGAAATTTTCGAACAAGATAAATAAATGATCAATCGAAATCGAATGAATCAATCTTTCTAGAAGTGCCAAATGTTTTAGATGAATGAAAAAAAGAAAGAAATGGGATTTGTCCATTCCAATCCAATGTTTCGCCACGTACAAATACGTACATTTCCTGCGTTGGGCCATAAAAAATGACGATATCTGTGTCATGTTAGATGTACTTCACTTCTAAATTTAGCATCCCCAATAAAGTTAGGGATAGTTCGCACAAATAAGATAAATAAAAAAAACTTGAAATTTTTTTTTTTTTTTTTTGAGTTAATCGGTAATTTGTTTTTAATGAAATAAATTCAATTAAATTTTTTTGTTTGTTTTTGTTTTTTAAACAAAAAACAAAAAATTCTTATTTTTTTTAAAAAAAAATAAAAATAAAATAAAATATATAAATAAAAATTTACAAAAAAACAATTAAAAATAAAAAAAAATTTTTTCTACATGACTACTTTATCAAACGAAAACTTTTCTTTTGATCAAGCTGAATCCGGCCAATTTGAAAATACACCAAAGAGTTTCAGAGAAGTCTTGAAGGATTACCTTTTACCCGGACAACAGACGAGAGGGGATCGTCTCGCATTACAACCCAATTATGATTATACAAGCAAGAAAGAACAATATCAAATTTCGATTAGTCATGATGGAAAATTTGTTGCAACGCTCGACACAGGTAATTGCAATCATTTCTTACGATCTTAAAGCTTTGTTCGTACCTAATTTAATTATATAACCATCCAAATTTAGAAAATCTTCGGATTAAGGTTTTAAGAAATACTGATTACCGCGGAAGTCACCGAAAGAAAGAGAAAGACCTCTCACAACAGAATGCAAGTGAAAATATTGATGAGCGAATTGCGCTTTTTAAAATAAATAACAATTTAACTGTTAATAAAATTTACGGGAAAAATGAAACGCCTCCACGATTTGACAATGAGAATAATGATTACATTTCCAATACCGACGAATTATCTGGAACAATCAATAATAACAATCGTTTCAGATGGTCGCTGGATATATCAAACATGGATGAAAAATTTCTTTTTGTAGCAGTATCTTACATAGACATTGATGAAGATATGAAATGTTTAGAAAAAAGGAGCAAATGTCAGATGTTTAATTATAAGAAAATTAAAATGCAGGAGGCAACTTATAATGAGAAAAGCAATAGCTACACGATTAATATCCCTCATGATACTCAGGAATTTCGGAAGGGAATTGCGATCTATCGTCTTAGATTAAAGATATCAAAGAATGGCATGGAGGAAAAATTTATACTTGAAAAAGGGTATTATTGGAATAATTTATCGGGAATTTGTCGATTTATAGAAAACTTTGATCCAACGTCGATTTCTAATAAAATTGATACTCCGCATTATATTTTGACAAGGTTTATTACTTTGAACTTTGACGGAATATTTAACTTTGTATATAACAAGTCAAATAAGAATTTTCATTTGAATGAAAGGTTTAATTATCCGAAAATTATCAAGAATGAATTAAAGAATTGGCATACAAAACAAAATTTACCTGATTGCATGGACCGCCTTGTATCGTGCATTTATGATAAATATTTTTTGGTCGAACATTATAAAAACAACGCTCAATTTCTTGAAGGTAAATAATTTCATCCTTTTTTGATTTTTCAATAAACTAAAAAAAAAACTTGCTAATAAATCTATCGTAGTTTATGATCTGGCGAACATGAAATTAGAAAGTAGTGCGAAAAGAATCGTAAGTAATGATAACTGCATAAAAAAGTACAACAGAAATACCTTTTCAATTGATAAACAGAAATTGCAGCTTTGTTTTACTCGAGGACAATCCGTTGAGTGAGTTTCATATGTCATGTCGTGTTATTTAATTTGCTTAGGAAATTGCCTCGATGCACTTTTTTTTATTTATTTTTTTATTTTATTTTATCAGAATATACTTTATGGAGAACGGCTTGGAGATCTCGTCCAGAAATTTTGAAGAACTTGAAAAAATATATTTTCTAGAATTTATCGAAAATGATGAGAAACTACTTTTGATTGGCAGCGATGAAAATAATAATCAAAATATGATTGTCTGGGATTTGTATAATACCGATAAGATTGAAATATTTCGTTTAGAAAACGATCTTATAATACAAAATTTTGATACTCACTTGGCCAGAACTTCAGGAAATCTTTTGCGGGTTGATAATAAAGGAGATATTACCTCAATGCTCAAGATGATCGAAAATAAATTAAAGGAGGAAACAAGGGAGGAAATTAATAAAGCAAATTTAGTAGAATATATTGCAGAAATTGAAAAAGAACCTATACATAAAGAATATTTGTATCAGGAAAGGCACACAATATTTTTTTTTGATTCCTATGAAGAAAATAATTTCAGACCATTAATTAATGAAACAGAACCATGGGTAATGGACAATTACGACGAATATTCTTTTTATCTTTGTAATGATGAAATAGAGGCTTTGCAGCTGATAGTTGGAAGATCTACCATTCAAATCTGGCATAAAATTATATCAGATCCAAAAGAAAAAGAGAAGGAGAATCTTCCCAATCAAGGAAATCCCTTCCTAGAATTTATTTGGACGAATGGTATTCCAGTTAAACAAGAATGTAAAGAAAATAGATTACGAATTAAAAAGATTCAATTTGGGTATAAATATTTTGACATGGAAGTTTATTGGTATGAAGAAGAAGATGATGATGAGAAAAATGAGGAAGATAAGTATGAAGATGTGGCAGATTTTGGCATTGAAGAAAAAATGAAAAATATGGAAGAGATTAAAGGAAAATCATTGAAAACAAGAAAAGTAAAGTGGGATGATATAAATGAGAATATAATGGGCATAAGATATGCATGCAAATCATTAGAGCACCTTAATAAGCGTGCGAGGTCTCTTGTAAATTATGATAGAAAGCATAAAGTAAGTTGATTTAAATTATATAAACTTTTTGTTTATTAAATAAAAACTTTTAACCAACAACATTTCTGTTAATTTAACCAAAAGTATGAGAATATGGTTATGTACATTAATCATATAGTTTGGAGATATATTAATCATAAGCCAGATCAATATAGATTACTAGATGTTCGACATAATGTTATGAAAAATTTAATCCTTGGTGACTGTGATCATTTAATTAAATTTATTTTATTTGGAAGTAAAGAATACGAAACGTCTGTTGAAAAAGAAAAGAAAAGTAAAAAGGAAAAGAGTGAGGAGGTAGAAAATTTCACAATCAAGCACATTCCAAGGAATATACTGTGGCAAAGGAAAGAAGATAAATATATACAGGCCGACGATCTTGAGCCTTTTGATAACGAAGAAGATTCAAAAGATATTGAAGAAATACTGCCAAGAAATGATATGGAATTGGCGATTTATCATTGCAAAGGTAAATTGTTTAATATCTCTGATTTTATTATAAATTCTTGGTTAATAAATTAAAAATCGATATTAGGACGGGAACTAAGGGACACAATTATGGTCGCATATCTTTTGGAATATTATTCGAGACATGCAAAAGATTATGCTGGTTGGATGAGTACTGTTTCCAAGTCGCTTCCTTTGTTATATAAATATGATTATGGTTTGTCTTTTAAAGTTTTTTTTTTTTTAATTTAAAAAAAATTTCAATTATTGATTAATAATTATTATCCGTAGATGATTATACCAGAAAGTTATTTCGTAAAGAATGCTTTGCGGATCAAAATCATTTTTCGGCACAAGATTCTCATGAAATTATTCCAAAAAAATACAATATAAAACGTAATAATAATCCTGAATTCAAGGCGTTTAAACCTATAGACAAATTGAAGTCGGATAGAGAATCATACAATTCAAATTGGAAAGCAATAAAATCCGTTAAAAATAAAGTGTCCATATGGCTTGAAAACTTTGATAATGCTAATGGAAAACCACCATTAGCTTTACGAGTCGTACCCCTTCCCGGATTTACCACACATACAATCAAATCAGAAAGAGTTGATTATTCTCTTAGAAAAAATATTATGAACATTATTTGGTTTTTGTTATTACCACGATGGTATAAAATTAGCCGAAATGAAAAGGATAAGTTGAGTCCATTTTCAAGAGTTATTCGATACGAGAATAATGATGATATGTTCGATAACCCGGCGACAGAAGCAGTCATTAATTTTTGTTGGCCAAAAGCAAGAAATTTTTTTTTCTTTCGTTTTATTCGATTTCTTATTTTTGGATCTAGTTTTGCGTATATTAGTTGGGCATATTTAGTTCATAATGATGATAGTTTAGAATTTATAAATTATATAATTGCATCTATTATTGTATTCTATTATTATGCAATTTATTTTTCTATTGCCAAAATGATACAGCTACAATATTATGGAGTGAGGAAATTTTTTAGCGATACATTTAATTATTTTGATATATGTTCAATTTTAATTCCAGTAATAGTAATGTCAATAATGCTTATAAATTCATTTAAATTATCCGATGGCTTTGAAAATATTCAAGCTGCAGACTCTCAATTAGTTATAGGAATATCCTTCTCAATTTTATTAATTTGGATAGAAGTAGTAAGTTATCAATTTTATTTTATTTTATTTTTTTTCGCACATATTGAATTTTTGATTTAAAAATATATTATAAATTTTTTTTTTTAGATTTTATATCTCCGTTTAATATCAAGTAAATTGCATTTTTTTTTTTTTTTATATATATATTTTATTTATTTATTTATTTATAACGATTTAATTTATTTTACCAATTAATAGATATTGCTATCTACATTTATTATGTTTTGAATATTTGCATATCTATATATCCATTTCTTTTATTCTTATTAACTATAGTCATTGCATTTACGCATACAATGTAGGTTTATAAATTCAATAATATTATAATATATTTATTTATTTTACTTGATTCTAATTACAATACCAATATTCAATTTCATTCATATGTAGGTACATATTGCTAAAAGATCCAAATATTGAAGCAAGAGATAGTACAATAAGTGGTATTGCCACTTCTCAAAACACTAATGATGTTTTTAATGTGCAACTTGTAAATGATTTTGATCGTACGGATTACGAAGACAATCCATATTCTTACTTTCCAACCGCGTTAGAAGCTTCATATTTTTGGTTAAATGGTAACTTTGTTCAAAGAGATGATTTTGATTCGTGGGCTGTTGAGGCATTTACTTTAATTGCTAGCATCATGCTTGTAACCATTTTACAGAATATTTTAATTGCTATTATGGGGTAAGTTTTTTTCTTAAATAAAAAAAAATTCATAAACCACGGGTGTGACGATTCATTTGATTTAATGTTCCTCTCCAATTACCCTTTTTTAAGCGGTGTTTATGGTGAAGCAGCAACCAAGGGCAGACAAGCTTTATTAAGGTTTAGAGCAAACCAAATAGCAGATTATGAGGCATTACATCACCTTCACTTTCAACATCAGGAACCGGAACCAAAATACATTTATTATATCGGCCAAGCCAAAAATTTTGAGGAATGGTACAAGAGTCGAAAGGGTGATCGAGGTCAGATTTATAAAGAATTTGAAGAAAAGTCCACATTTACAAGATACAATTTCAAAGAATCAAGTATTGACGAAGTTTCAATTTGGAAATTTGATGATAAACATAAGAATGATAAGAAGAAGGAAAAAAAGGCCGAGAAAATTTTAAAATCAGCAAAATCAACGGATATAGAAGAGGAATTGTCCAAAGGGAAACATTCCGCGCAAGGTACAATTGGAAAGAATGATGAAGTTATTGATAAGGAAATTCAGGAAATTGAACAATTGAGACATGACATGAATTCTTTGGTTGATAAATTAATAGGCAAACTCAACAGTCAGAAATTTAAATGATGGAATAATACATGATTTATTATTTAATATTATTTTTTCTTTTTTTTTTATTATTGTTTTAAATCATTTTTTTGAATTATTGTACTTTTTTGTTTTTATTTTCTTGTACTTTCTTGTATTTTATTTTGTATTTACCTTGTTTAATTAATTTTTACGAAAACTTAACTAGACAACAAAATTTTTTGTAATTCCATGAATAAAAAACTTTCAAAAATTAAGATTTTTTTAAAAAAAAAAAAATTTCGGTGAATCGTGGTAAAGAGGAATGAATCACTTGAAAAATATCATCCGGAAAAAAATAATCACAGATAGTATATTACTTAAATATGAACTCCGAAAATTGGAATTTCTTTTTTCGGTTAAATTTGAGTTCTTTATTGCTCGCAAATTTTTTTAACGTCGCGTCTTCCAAAAAAAAACTACAACTTCATTTCCACGAGAAAATAAACTATCGAGAATCTTGAATTTTGATTTAATTATTCCGAAATACACGTCTTGCCATCACCATATGCTTTATTTCTTTATGAGCACGAACAAATGAAATCTTTTATAACCTAAAAGTTGCAAAATAACAATTTGATAACCTACTTTACGGTCTATTTTAAGTAAGAGAATTATGCATTGCAAATAAAATCGATTGACCAAAAAAAAATATTATCATGTAAAAAAGAATTTAGAATTGTTGATCGCGACTTTAAATTTATATAGCAGAATTATTTATTTTTCTAGTTACATTTCGAACGTTTAATTTATTTTCGCGAAAGGATCCATCATCAATGATTGGCTAATTACAATAAAATTTAGTTTGCCATATACAGTATATACCAGTCGTAGAGTCGGAGTCGACGGTGTAAATACCAAAACCAAGTACAGTCAACTTCGGAAATTTCAACCGTGACTGAACATCGCGAAATTTTCGAAAATTTCAATAAATAAAAGTTTCAAATTTTTAGCCGAATGGTGATTCTGACAACTTTATTGCTGATGAAAACTTATAATTATCTACTTTTTACAACATTAAATTAAATTATAATGGTTGCTAATTTCAAATAAGAAATGAGAGACGCTATAAAAAAAAAAAAAAAAAACTATGAATGTCTGATTATTAAAACCAAACTTACCGTAACTTGTTTTAGCATGTTTTAAATACTTGACATTGGTTGGTTATAGTGGTTTTTTTAAGAAATTATAGATATTAGTTATTATTAGTTAGTGAATCAGGCATAAATGTATTTAACATCGGAAGAATTGACAATTAAAAAATTTTATTCAGACAAATTATTATATAGCAAATTTTTTTTCCCTAAACCTAAACAATTTTTGTCTTATTTTGCTATTATATCATAAGACGAAATTTGAAAATAGCTAAATCTAAAGTAACAGATGTTTTTTAATCAATTTAGAAAAATTTAAAGGTATACTTATATAACTATTTAATTTTTGAGCAAATTATTACTCCATCCTCGATTACTCCGACGCCAATCATTCATAAAAGTTTAAAAGTCCACACGTACGATAACTTTTATTTCAAAAGCCAGTAGAACTGACAGCGGATTCTCTTACATCATTGGTTGCTAATAACTTGGCATTATTTTCGTGCCTCATTGTCCATAGTTATTTGATTCACTTTCATTCAAGCGAACCGGTCTATGAAGGCTTACCGACATCCAGGTACATTTCCATTCTAGGTAGGTACCCTAGAACTTCAAATAACTGCCACTCCTAATCATTAGAGTACACTCCAACGTCAAATCGTCAGAGCCTCTGTTCACCTGATGGCAAATAGTCAGTGGGAGCTGCTAACGAACCTTCAAGTGTCGAAGGTTGAAATTTAAAACGAATTTATGTAGAACACCTGAACAAGCGCAGGTAAACTGGTAGCTTTAACCCTCACTCCAAACCTCAGCATTTACTATGAACGAGCCACTATTCACATGTTACATATAAAAGCATCGGCAACTTCAATATCATATTCCGCCGGCTAATCGAAGGAGGATTCTCACACAGTAAACAAACCGTGATACCCTTTCGGGCGTCTATTGACTATATCTTAAGCAACCGAATCGGATCATTATCCAACACAGATTCCATTGCTTAAACTCAAAGTAAAAGTTGCTTCTGTTCGGTCACCCATCGCCATTTAGTCGATGAACTGCACGCACGGGTTGCTCCAAAAGAAACAGTGAGCCCAGAGCGCTTGGCTGCCGATTGTCCATTCCCTCTTTCGAGATCCTTAATTAGATAGATCACATAGAATTTACATTCTACCTGTTCGGAGTTGGTTCCTAACCATCCAATTCAGACCTTCCGATCTATCCGTCTTCCAGTAATTAAGGTCCGGGAAGGAATTTAGAATTAATCTTCGTTCCACCTAAGATCCTAAGGGGTTATTACCATCCGATAGCCTTTCGACCATCTGCTGCAAGTCCGTTTTCACGCCCTCCGCGGTACCCAAAGGCTTTAGGAGATTCCGGCAATTTGACGATGTGGCCGTGTATGGGGTATACCAATTTTTCCATTTCGCAATAGGTTAAGGCCCTTCCACCCAAGGACGAATCACTCATCAACCGTTGAAAGCTACCGTAGCGTTTATATAAACGAACCTACGTTGAGCTTCCTATGCGGGCAATTATAAAGATATGTTCCATACCGACTAGCAATTCACTATTCAACCGATTTCCAAAATTCCAAAATAGTAAATTACAAGATTACATTTCTTCCATTTAGGCAAAAGCTTCGTAGTTATCCATGCACGCTACAACACAAAATGGTGATCCGTTACAGACTTGGCAAAATGCAAGTTATAGATAAACTATTCTTCCTTTTGGAGCTTGTAGGTTTAACGTTGGACTTACTTTAAGAAGAAAAATGTTACCATTTATCTCCCTTTACATTCCAAACCTGACGCCTCCTACCAAATGTCGTGACTGCTTTTGTACTCCCAATAGATGGATCCTACCCATCCTTGAAAGAAATATTTGCTGTACTGATTCTGCAATAATAAAATAAATCCTATTTGTATATTTTCCTTCCTAAAAGATAAATGTTGGTGATGTTAAATTAAAGTTGATAAAAATGTTACCAATAATGATTGCTACTCCTAATATTATTCAAATTATTCTAATCTTAAATGCAATGCAAGAATTTTTTAATCACTTTCTCGTTTGTTGTAAGCTTTCAAAAAGTCTATTCAAAAATGTATTTCTATTCTTTCAATTGTTCAGAATTTCTTTTAATCCTTCTAAGCTGTCGTACCAGCGGTTGAAGTTTCGTAAAGATTTTTATAATAAGTTACACAATTTATCAAAGCTTTTGTATTCCGGCTGGCTGGCGGAAATAAAATTCGTAGATTTTAAATGTAGTTTGTATTGAATAATATAGTTCAAGTTTTAGGAGAATTTCATGAATATTCCTTGTCTTATCCAACGTCATTTGGGAAAATTTTTCGTCAAAGATTTTGAAGTAAAAGGTTTTCTTCAATTAAAAGAAATTGACGGAAGATGTTAAGGAATCTATCTCATTATTGCGTGAGCGGGAAGTTTTCATAATTGACTATTAATCAATAAATATGAATGTAAAATAACTTCTTAAAAATTCGGAAAAAGGGACGACATTATATTTATTAAAAAAAAAAAAAAAGCCAATTTTGGGTTTTGTGACTCAACAAAACTGATTGTTTAGTTTTTTCTTTGATGAGTTGCCCTTTTAAATTACGCCCTTGTAGAACATTCCTAATTAGTCAACAAATGATTTTTGATTGTAGTAAAAGATAATCAAAGGGTCACTGTTCCCCAATGATACAATCCTACCTAATAATCAAGTTATTATGAATATAAAGTTTAAAAGGAATTATTTATTTGTGCAAACTAATAAGAACAATATTAACGGACACTTTATAACTCGTGATATGATGTATTCTCTTTGGAACCGGTTAATATTTAACGAGATAATTAGATAAATAAAAAACCAGGTGTTACCAAGAATCAGATATATTTTTTTCGTATCGCTCATTTGCGTACTTTATATTTATATTCAATGATTGGCAGATAAAAAACGAATGAAAGAATCACAAATTCTGAAATAGAAAATAAGAATGACAACTTGCAACGTCAACCTTCGCTGATAATAAAAAGTTTATTTTTTAAAAAAAAAATAAAAGTTATATGAAATATTGCACGTGTCTATTCTTATTTCAAATTAAGAGAATTAGTTTTCAACAATCAATTTTCTCATTATTGTTCATTATATTACCATATTAGTCTTGGATACTAATACTATACTGTATATTTTTTAGGAGATAAAACAACTCGAAAAAAAAATTTGTGAAAGCAGAAAGTAAAGGACTTTATTTTTGAAAAAAAAACCATCGCTGCTCCCGAAGCGATGGAAATACTCAAATAATTTGTAATTTCAAAGCAAAAGAGAAGAATATTAAGAAAATTAAAAACAAAAAAAGATTTTGAAAAAAAAAACTAATAATGAAACTAATAAACTAAGAGCATACCCGTAAATTGATGCTTCCTAAAAAGCTGATCCAAAACTAAAAGAACTGCCTTACTAATACTTATAAAGCGATCCAACCTGAAAGAAAGAAATTCACGTAAATCTGAAAAATAAATTAAAAAAATATATAAGAAAAATACTGGAAAAATAAAATCATAATGTATAGCCTTAAAAGATAGAATTCGAAACAAAAAAAAGATCAAAATGATAAGGCTTGAACGATCTATTCCAAGAGAAATTGTCGACGCGAAATTTCTTATTATTATTATTTAATCAAAAAACAAAGCACAAATTTGCTATAAATAACGTCGGAAATGTCAGTATAAACATTATCGTTAATACCATAATTAATAAGATTTTGTAGATAGAATAAATTTTCAAAGTTAAATTATTGATATCAACAACCAAAAATCCTCAAAAGTAATGAGCTGCGTCACACATAATATTTTAATATAAAGAAACGCAGGATGCTTTTTAAGCTAATAATGAAATGAGCTATGTTATCATGAAGATTTAATTTTTCCCAACATTTAATTTTAACGTTATCCTTCATTTTGTCTAAACGTTTTAGTAACCTAAAAACAAAGCCCTATTCGACCGGTTATTATCTATGTTTAGCGAGGCTGTGAAGCAAAGCCCTTTTTTATTGAAGGCTGTGATTGTTTACATATATACTATTGCCACAAAATCATTTCTCCGAACCGCATATATTAAATTTCTCACACAAAAATTTTGATTTATTATATAATTTTCAGTTCAGTTTTCTAGCTTCACTGAATGACAATTGAGGAGTAATTTAATTTACATTTCACAAATACAGTTATTAAAAAATCGTCAAAAATTGATCTTTAAATTAGTTGACTTGATTGACAAAAATGACAAATTATATGTACAGTATTATATATAGTTTATTTTGTATAAATATCATGTACTTTTCCTTGGGTTGAAAGATAACTCGAGATATGGTTTTGGGAGTAATACCAAGTGTTCTATAAGATTTTTGTTATTCATTTGCTATTACCTTTTGCCATGTCTTCATACAGACGTGATTTGAAGTACTGAATTATATTACATGATTGTTCTTTACAGAAACCCGGTCAATAAGACACAATTGTTTTATTATTATTCTTAAAGCTATTTAACCATTTTTTAAAAAAAAATGCTTGATAATAAACTGTTAAAGAAATTTCAATACTTATTTAATATAATTATTTTTAAACAATTTTAAGATAATTCTAAAGATTTTTATTTTTATTTTTAAAGTTAAATAGATTAATATCATACTTTAAAAGTAAATCCAAATTGATGGGTTTATTTAATTGATTTTTGATTTTTAGAATCATCTATATCATTCATTTGACTCATACCTCAATGCAATCAATATTAGTTTATCTTTACTTTTTTTTTTTCTCAAAATGTCTCAAGTAAATAAGCAAGGAAATAACTTTCTGAGAAAGTTAAGACCATTTATACCTTTTAATTTTTATAAAATATTACAATTTATATTAAAAATTTTTTATATTTATTTAGAATAGTATTATTATCATACAATTATATATGATATGCAGTCATATTATTTATTAATATAAAAATATCATATAATTCAAATATAATAATTTAATTATAGATAAATCCTTTAGATTTATTTGCTAAATAAATTAAAAGATTTAAATCTAATGATAATATTTCACTTTAAAATAAATTTTAAAAAAATTTAATTTGTTTTTACTATTTAGAAACTATAATACTAAAATGGATTCTAAGTTTTTTCAACAAAAATATTTCAAATTATATCAAATTATAGTATATTACAGCTAATTTTATAATTCATGAACCATTAATAATTTTTCAGTCACATTCAATCACAATATTTTATAGTAATTTTATTATAAAAATTTTCAGTTGCATTCAATCACAATTTATTAGTAGTCATGAATTATGAAATTAGCTGTAAATGAATTTATTTGATTAAATTTTTAGAGGCTATTAGCTTATCAATAAAATAAGCAATTAGACCAGCAAAATACTTAAAATGTTGTGTAATATCAATCAATGAATCTAAAATTAGATTTTAGAAATTTTCTTTTAAAAATAATCGACAAATGATTAATATACAAAAGAATGTTTATTTTAATGTAACTATTTTTTGATTATCAATTATTCAAAATCAATTATTAGTTTTAAAACTAACTTCGCTCTTATATTATAAAGATATCAAAAATTATTTTATTTTTATTTATTAAAAGAAATTATTTTGAACATATTTTAGCATTAAATGAAATATTATCTAAATATTTAATATCCAACTTAATGTAAAATAAATCAATATCTATTTTTAAAAAAGAGAAAATAATACCTTATTTAAAAATAATTTAATTGACTATAAAAAAGTATTTATTATTGCGAATATTAAAAATAATAATGTAAAAATATATATATTATAATAAATAATTTCACTATACTATTTTTTAATGAATTTTTTCTCATTAATTTTAACTAAAATATTATAATTTACTATCAAAATAATAAATATATTATATTACTTATTAAATAAATTAATTATACCTACTCAAACTAATATTTCAAGGTATTAATTAATATATCATATTACTTATTAAATAAATTAATTATACCTACTCAAACTAATATTTCAAGGTATTAATTAATTATTTTTTAATTTATAAAGAAAATGATAATTTATTCAAATTTCACTTATATTACATATATATTAAAAAGATTTATAATTTACTATTAAGATAATAAATATATCATATTACTTATTAAATAAATTAATTATACCTACTCAAACTAATATTTCAAGGTATTAATTAATTATTTT